CCTCAGGAAACGTAAAAGACAACAACAGTTCACCTCCCTCTGCCTGGTGTCGCTCTCTTCGCCATCGACAAAAAAACAGCAGACCTCGATCAGGAGCCGCCCGACGCTCCTCCTCTGCCGCAGGCAGGGACAAAACCAGCCGAGGCCTCAGAGCTCAGCTGAGGCTATCGCTGCCCAGTCAGGGTGTGCTGCTGCACTCCAAGCTGCTACAACCCTACGTGAGTCTTACCAGGCTGAGCTCTGAGCAGTGTCACCTATCGACCCAAAGGAAAGCCTCAGCCGGGCAGGAAGAGCGCGTGGAGCAAGGCAGCGACAGCGAGGAAAGGAGGAAGCAAGAGGAGGAAGACTCTTCCTTCGATGTGAACGCTCTTTACTCCACTGATTCCTCAAGCAGTGACGGAGAGGAGTCACCTGACCGTGACCCTGATTATAGACCTCACATCAAAAAGAAAAGACTTCTGTTAGAGTATGAAAATGCGAGAGTGTCACGGTGACAGCAGCTGAACTAATTGAGGAGTTTTTAGAGTATTTTTAGATGCCGTGTGAAGATGCAGCCATCAGTGCTCTCTAATGATCGGCCTGTTCTTGTGAGCCAACATGGTTCCTGTACGCTAACTGAATGTAGATGTGCAAAACACAGAACATAGAATTGTTTTAAATAGATTTGTCTCCCTATTAAAATTTGAAGAATGTAGCACTCAAACAGGTTCAACTGAAAGGAAAGAAAAGCTTCTTGTAAACGTTTGTATGGTGCAGCTTTATTGTAGCAGGCGTGTATCGAGTGTTCTGGTTTATGATAACAGGTCTCTGATTATATAAGTAAGAATAAATAACCCAGAGGGGATCGTTGTATTTTCGTAATGTGTTTTGTTTGGCTCCGTCAGCAGGTCCAACATTTCAGGACTTTTACCCCTCCTGGAAGTCCAGACCGAGGTAAATGTTTTTGATTATATAATTTCCATTTGCACAGCCAACTTTTGGCTTCCTGTTTTCATAGAAATAAAAACGAGGATGCACTTTTTTAACCTCCTATTAAATTTAAAGTTGTTCTCAAAACGTTCTCCAAGTGGGGAACCAGCTTCTTATAGAAAGCACGCATTACTTCTATTTGCACCAGTGCAAACCTTTTCACTGAGCCGCAGCACAGAGCGCTGCTGTGTAACGATGTGCTCTGACTCTGTGATGGTCAAAGCT